ACGAGAGGCGGTCAGTCCCTCTTGATGCCCTGGTCCATTGACATGGCGACGTTTCCGGCACTAGGGACTCGAGCTTGCCTTTTCTGATCGCCCTGTCAAGGTCACTGGCAAGTCGAGAAGAGGTTTAGTACTGACTTATGCGGCTCTGCTCTCTGCGCAAGTCCTGGGGCTCCTGGAAGAGACGGAGTCCTAGCCTTGACTGGATGGCCAACGAAGGCTCCCCCCTTGTCCCTCCACCCTCCAGACCATGTTCATGGCGCACGTTCGTGTCGATGCGCTTTTCCTTCATTCCGTGATGCTGTTGCTGCCCCCCTTTCCCTTCGCTTGACTGCAGTTTGGTTTATCTGCTGGGACAGGGCGATAGTGGCCCACCCACACATGTGTGATCTTATTCATATACTCCAAATGCTCGTCCTCCCCAATACCAGTGGTTCATGAACTTTCCTCCTCACCCATTCTCTTTCTCTCTGCCTGTCAGTACCACCTCTACTGACGGTGGAACATCACGCAAGTCAGTTTTCCCGTATACTGGACCTTGCAGTCTGCAGCCAACGTCCACTTGTCTTCTGGCTAGGTGCACCATGCATCGTCCTTCACACTACCAGGATTTGCTTGGGAGCGAGGGCCCAGATTATGGGTATGGAGACGCCGACGAACATGGCACTCCCACACAGTTTTGGTCCATCCCCGGAGAATTTCACACCATCAATCCCCTCCTTGATACCTTCCCTCTGTATGACATGAATGCTCACTGCCCAAGACCTGGCGGGTTTCAAAACTCCTGTATCTCGTACGACCAACTCGCTCAGGGCTTCAGCCATCGGCCCATGTGGGATGATGCACCCAGAGCCCTGCCACAACTGGATGGCTTGGGCCTTTTCCGTCACGAATTTGAACAAGGCCGTCACCAACGTCATCTGTCTCCCACGGACCCTTTTGGGTTTGCTCTCTCCAGCAACAGCGATTCGTCGGGGAGCGACTATGCTCTCAGTCCAGATGCAACTCGGAACTCCCTCATCGTTCCCATGACTCCCTCACCACAGGGATTCTACGCCACTCCTTTGGCGACGTCTTCAGTCGCGAGCCAGAGCTGGGCCTCACAACCCCTCTTGATGTCACCCCATCCTTCCACGCCTGTCCCAGCCACCCACACTATCCCCAGCATGAGACAACTCCAGGTCACGCCGGATCCAGAACAAGACGACGAGCCGGTCGATGCCAAGGAGGCATTCCACTCCAGGATCGACTTTCCCTCGGGGATAGAGCTATCGGCAGAGCTATCGGCACAGCTCCTCAGTCCTCCTGACTCCGGACCGGACCAACCAGTTCACGATGATGAATTTATGAAAGACGAAGAGGAGGACTCTGAGATGAATGAGACCGATACCGACTCCGACTTCCGTCCCAGAGGATCTACCACCCGCGGGCAGGGCGGGACCGCTCGTCGCCACTCTCTGCGTGGACCACAGCGTCCAACAGCAGTCATTGATCCCAAAGCTCGTGTGCAGAAGTCTGCTCAGGTCGTCGACACATCACACAATGGCAGGTCACGGTCCAAGATCAAGAAGAAGGCTCTGGCAGTCAACAAAGACGAGTCGGACTCGAAGCATTTTCCTTGCGCTTTCCACCACTACGGCTGCTGCGCCATGTTCGGCAACAAAAATGAGTGGAAACGGCATGTCAATTCTCAACACATCCAGCTTGGTTACTACCGGTGCGATATGGGCACTTGCTCACCAAAGGCGGCGCGGACTCAGCACAGGGGGTTTAACGACTTCAATCGCAAGGACCTCTTCACCCAGCACTGTCGTCGCATGCATGCCCCCTGGAGCGGGAGCAAGAGGGCCGAGAGCAGCGTGCCAAAGAAAGATCGAGAAAACTTCGAAGCAGAGCTTGAAGTGATCCGCGCTCGCTGCTGGGTTGACCGCCGCAAGGGGCCTCAAAAGTCCAAATGCGGATTTTGTGGCAAGAAGTTTGCTGACGGCAAAGATTCTCTTGGCTGGGATGAGAGGATGGAACATGTTGGTAGACACTTTGAAAAGGACCATCGGAAGAGCGAGGACGAAGTGATTGACGACGGTCTCCAGCAGTGGGCTATCAGTGAAGGCATTGTGAGAGAAGGGAAGAATAAAGGGGAGTTCTGGCTGGTGGGTTTCGAACCCGCTCCGCCGAGTCAGCGTCCCCGGCAACAGAGGAGGAGCAAAAGATCAAACAAGGAGGCGGAGGTCAAGCAGGAAGACGACGAAAGCCACATGACCGACGGCAACCACGTCGACGCTGGCCTCCTCCAGTACACTCACAATGAGAAGCATGCCGACAGGGTGATGGAAAGCGAAGACAACGACGGACAAGATGAGGATGCTGAGGCCGAAGACGATGAGTAAGGTCTGATCAGTATGCAAAGAGGTGTTTGCTGCTTGAGCCAATACAGATGGCGTTGTCGAATTGAGGCATTTACGGTTGAAGGGACTTGGACAGTAAAAGGACAAAGGTGATGGACATAATGATACCCGGTCTGGTCTTGGGAAAAGGAGGAAAAGGCGAAAAAGTATTGATGCAATTTTGTTAGATGTTGAGACTGAAATATGGATTTTTGTTGTACGGCCTCAGCTGAATTTGTCTGCCACTTGTGATTGGTTGTAAGATGAAACACTTTGATGCCAGCCTCGTTTGAAAGTCGACGGTGTCTCTGAGCCAATTCGCGGCTGCTTTGGATCTTGATCTCGTGTTTCTGAAACCGCCTGTGTATTCTAGTCACTGCAGCTCATGTTCAACTCGTCGGGTTTTTTGAGCCTGCAGAAGAGTTTCTCTGAAGATGAGGTGCTGTGGCCGCTTTGTTTGTTTGGACGCCTTCTTTTCGTTGTAGCCGCCTTGTTGACGTCCTTCTGTCGTCTGTTGTCTGTTGTTCTTTGTCGTAACTGCGCTCTTCCATTTCTTCGACCTTGATCATTTATTTCACTGTTTAATTTATCTATTTATGTCAACCTTTTGTTCTGCTCGTCGGGCTTCTTGTCACCCAACATATTCTTTGTATCTGCTTCTACTGCGGTGAAAGTCTTTCTCTCCTCCTCAACCTTTCTAACTTTGACCGCCTTTGCTCACTCCTCCGTGTTCAATATAACCCTCACATATTCCTTTTCGTTACGCAGAATCCAACAAACGAGCCAAGACGTCGACCACCCCAACCACGTACTAGAGCACCCTCCAAAGATGATTTCCTTGATCAGTCTTCTCTCGTTCACCGCCGCAGTGGCTTCCACCACCCTAGCGGCGGCATCCCCCTCCAAGAACTTTCCCGCCCATCTCCAGCACCAGCGCGACAACTCCAATTCCAATTCCAACGCCGGTGGACCCCCCGACCCCGTTCGCCAGCTGCTGTACATGGCCCCCGACTCCAACACGTGCGACGGCGCCACGTACCCGAACGAATGTGCCGTGTCGTCGCTGCCCGTCGTGCAGGCCCTCGTCGACGGCTTTGCCGAGTACAACGTCACCACGGCACCCGAACAGGCCGCGCTGCTCTCCTGGATGGTATACGAGAGCGGCCAGTTCAAGTACAACCGCAACCACTTCCCCGCGCCGGGCCGGCCGGGCCAGGGCACCCGCTCCATGATGTCCCCGACCTTTGTGCAGCAGTACGCCAACTCGATCCCGGAGCTGCAGGCCAAAGTCGCCGCCATCGCGCCTCCCCCGGCCGCAGGGACCTCCCTCACGGGCGCCCAGGCAGACCAGGTCCTCGCCCTCGTCCAGCCGGACAAGTACTCCTTCGCCGCCGCCGCGTGGTACTACGGCACCCACTGCACCGACGCCCAGAAGAAGCTGGTCCGCCAGGGCGGCCAGAAGAATTGGGAGGACGCCTTCATCACCGGATGCGTGCAGACCACCGTCGACGACGACAGGATTGCCTACTGGAAGAAGGCGTGTCAGGCCCTGGGGGTCACGGTGAAGCCGTGAATCGTGATGAAGAAGCGTGTGCAACATTGGATCTGGAGTTTTAACGGAAGGACTCGGTATGCGAGGGGTATTAGAAAATGATTGAGAGATAGAGCTTTGGAGCTGGTTATTTGGCTCTTTGACAATGATACGATCTTCTTGGTTCCAAACGTAGCAAAGGGCCGTGACTTTCCCCTTATCAACATGTTTCTTTTTCTTTTTCTCTCTCTTTCTCTGTCTGTCTTCCGCTACCAAGTCCCTTTTGCACGCCGGTTGAGGAGGTCCAGTGTACCTTATGTATCCTGCCTAGGTAGGTCACTTTGTTTCATTGACCACTCATCTACCAGTATTCGGTATGCCCTATATCCCCTGTATTTAAGCGAGGACTCACTCCCCTTTTACGTTTGTGGGGACCACAGGAGAACAGTTTTCCCGTGGACTATTGTAGATAGTGTAGATGTATAATAGTGCAAGTCAACCTACATACGGTACAGTGTGTATTCCACCCGCCGCGTGAGGCTGTCTAGTCAGGCCAAGCCAAAGCCTGGGCCAGTCCAGTCCAGTCTAGTCCAGTCTAGTCCATTTTGGACGAGACGAGAAGTGATGGAATGTCTATGACCAAGCAGCGTAGTACATGATATATATCTATTTCCATAGACATATGCAGAGATGTGCAGAGATATACATGTATCATGTTATCATGTGTGTCGCCAATCAACCCCATCAGAGCCTTTCACCGCGGTGGGAACGCCATTCATATTCATTATTCATTCATTCTGTCAGTCATTCGTTCAATAGCCTTGGGCGACCCAGCTCCCCAAAAAAGACGCCACTAAAAAGAGAAGGGAAAATCGCACAAGATTCTGTACCTCTGTTCCCCCCTGTCCTTTCGGCTCTTTCGGGAATAGATTCGGGTATATGGATATATAGAGATACTATTTTCGCAATCAGGCAACTCCATGGGAACGGAGGGAGAGGCAGCGTTCACGCCACGTCACGGCATGTCCATCACTCACTCACTCACTCACTCACTCACTCATTCAGTTTGGAGCTGTCGTGCCGCTGTTCTACCAGTACCAGGACCAGGACCAGTACCAGCACATACCGGTGGCCACCAAGAGTAGGAGAAAGAAGAACCAGCAGATGAAAGCGCGTGGGTTGTCACCGAGTGACTGCCGGGATCGTGCACGCGACGTCGTTGGCGCTCTCGTCATGCGTGTTGTCGAGAGTAACGATTCACTGTCGTACGATGTCCCGTAGTTGTAGTAGTAGGAGGGTTGGTCGTATCTCGTCGCGCGAACGGGTTGCGTATCTCCTCGAATCGTGCGAGTCGCGGTGGATGTTGGTTCTGGGTATGCACCTGGCATGGGCATGGGATGGAACGATACCACGTGGCTCTGGAGGCGCTGTTGAGGTGGATATGGAGCCGTGCGAGAGGTGGGTAGAGGCGAGGGTGTAGTGAATGGTACATATCTAGATGGAGATGGAGGTTGAGGTGTATGCGAATAGCTGATCGTCTGGGTCGACTGGCTGACGTGGGGAGGTGTGTTCTGTGTTACTCTCGAAGAGTTGGCGACGTTGGAGACGTTGGTGTATGTGGGTAAACCTCGATGCGGTGTCCGTGTCGGTGTTGGTGAGGGAGGAGGCGTAGGGAGCAATAGGCCCAGCGATGCCGCCGCTGACTCCGATTCCATTTCCATGTCCATCTTCGACAACAACGGCGTCAGCGATCTCTCCCGCTTCAGCTCTTGCTTTGACATCCGAATTGTCGACCTCGTCCCCACCGGCGATGGAATCGGCCCAAAATTACAATCGACCATGTACTGCAGCAAGTCCGCGCGCGATGCTTTGGTGAGGCACACCTGTCTCCCCCTGGCCCAGTACGGCTGCAGGATCCGCCAGTCTACCGACTGCGGGTCCGCCGCGTTGACCCACGAGCGGCGCGGCATCTGCGCATTCTGGGGCGAGAGGTACAGGGTGACGTTGTTGGCCTCGGAGTGGGCTGGACTCGGGTGGATGGGGAGATATTTACGGCGGAGGGAAGGTTTTCGGACGCGCTGATCGAGACCCTTGCCGTTGAATGATCTTATCTGTAGAGATTCCGCCGGGACGGACGGGTTGGATAAGTTAGCCAGTCAGTCAGTCAGTCACTCATTCATTTGTCTTTCTCGTTTTGTGCATATGAGGCTGTGGGGGAGGAGGTCGTGGACTTTTGTAAGAAAAAGTAAAGAAAGAAGAGGGGGGGGGGGGAGGAGTACTATCAAAAACATGACCTCGTCTGTGCCAGCCCCTTCCCCGCCGCCGACATGGAGAATCACGACAGGATGACCAAAACACCCATCTTCGATTGAGTGAGACCGCTCTGCGAATACGGGATCGATCTTGTCTTTGTCCGGGAGGTTGCATATTTTGCCGACGACGACCTCGTGCTTTTTCATCTCTTCTCCCCTTTTTCTGCAGGTAGTTCTATTCTGTCGGTTCATTTCTTGCCTCCCCTTTGCTGGTGTCTGTAAAATATTGAAATGAAGTAAAGAGTCCGTCTCTGTACAAGTACACTTGACATATATATTTGAGAAATCTACCTCGAGTTCGAGTATTTCAGTGATCGAGCTCGATTCTCCCCTCGACGGGAAATACGTAGTCATATCACAAAGAGAGCAGCTGAGAGGTATTGTAAGCGCTCAAGACATCGTCGACCAGAGCCGACCAGACTCGAGGCCGTTGACAATTGCAAGGTAAGGCTGTCGAGCGGGACGGGGAGGGGTGGGGGGGGGGGAGGTGTCTGTGTGGGGCAATTACTATAACTCAAACCTCTTTTTCAAACGCCATCCTCATAAGGATCTAGTGAACGGCCCCCGCCGTGGCCGGCGAGGCGGATTTCTACTCGTAGGTCGTCGGGGGAGAGCAGTTCCGGACTAGATGCCGAATAGTTCCCGTGCTTTTGCTTCGAACTTGTACAAGTAGGGACGAGTAGGTACTTCGTAGAAGCTTGGCCACCACCCCAGGCCATTCCCTCTCCACTCTGACGCCGCAGCACTTTTCTGCCTCGATCATGTCGCGATGCAGGCACGCAGGTCTGTTCCAGGTCGACCTCGTTTCCAGCCCGAACCCTAGAAGAGTGGCTGGTTACGGGGACAAGATCCTTCGACGGCGAGACCGAGTCAACCGGGACGAACACAAAAAGACCGAACTCGAATTATGCTTTTGCAATCCGTGCGCCGAGTCCAATGACTTTGTATTTGTAGGCAGCGAAGAGTCGCCAGGATTCTGGAGTACGAGGTACACAGTAGTACCGAGTACAAGCTCCGCTGTCCTGTCCGAATAGGTGCCTATTATTGTGGACTCTCGTCATGTCCGCCGCAGGTCGGCTGCGGCCAAGTTGGTGCGCGGTGCGCCTGCCAATACTTCCTGGTACAAGGACAGATCATGTCATGTGGGCTTGGTATTCTTGCTTGCTTGCTTGCTTTGACGACCACTACCCACTCCAGTGTCGGCTGGCAGACCACTCGTACACCGCCACCACCCACACTATCTCGTCGGCGGTACAATGTCCCGCATCGATGGAGTGCTAGACGGCTGAAGCGAGCACGAAGAACGCTGTTAGCCAAGGCTTTGCTCCATGTCTTGTGATCGAACGAGCCATATACAAAGCCGAGCCACAAACGCCAGGCCTGTCTATCTGTCGACTCGGAAATCCCAGAGACTGAATGGCAGGTCGCGGCTTGAAGAGTGGCCAAGTGGTATACGTGACGTGGAGAACTGGGCGGTGTCCTCGGCAAAAGCGAGGGAGATGGATATCAATTGAGAGTGTGGATTAATATGTTGCGGAAGGATGGTGGGGTGAGTGGGTGGGCGTAAATTGTCAGGTCTTTCTCTCCCAGGCTAGGCTAGAAGAACAGCTCTTCACCTGTGGGCAGAAGACCAAACACTGTAAAGGAGTAAATGGTAGAGGTAGCCAGGAGGACCCTGGCCAGGAACAACCAAGGTACAGGTGAGTGGCAGGTGTGCAGTCTTCATATTGGCGCGGCAAAGCTGAATGTCAAGTGCGCTGGATATGGATTCAATTCTTGTATGAAACACAGTACAATATGTACGAGGCACTTCCTATGTACCAACGTATGTCTCATGTATGTAACCATCGTTGAAGGCCAGAGTTGGCTAGCCTTATGGTGACTGCATTGTGAAAGGCCACTTCCAGCCTTCGTTCGGTCATTACCATGCTTCATGCCCTCAAATCAATTGCCTCGGAGGCATCGTCTCTTCTCCCTTGACCCCATGCACGAGGCTTCCCCTCTTGTTCTCATAGTTTCGCAAGGTGCCCGTCCCCTCCACAGCTTCTTGGACCACAGAATCCTCAAAGACGTCGATGTGTGTGCTCGCAAACTTTCGTGCACTGACACCCCTCTCGAACAAGAGATCCAGTTCTGCGAAACTGCGACCCGCTGGCTCTGGCACACGGAAGTATGTGTAGATGATGCAGCAGAAGCAGATCCCCGCCCAGAAGAAGCCGGCGTAGTTGCTCCAGTTCCATTCACCGGGGTTGAGCATGTACGGTGTCAAGACGGAACAAATAATTCCGACGACGTTGTACAGGTTGCGCCCCAGTACGACAGTCTTGATCTGCAGACGGCGGGTGGAGAGCTCCGCAACCAGAGAATAGCAAACCGTGCCCACCGTAAGTTGGTAACAGAGTGCCCAGACCAGCATGATCGATCCAGTTGCCAACGCAGCCGAGTCTCGGTGGGAATCAGGAACCAGCCCCAAAAATCCCATGATGAGCAGCATGGAGAACAATCCACAGAGTCCGTAGAGGTAGAGGGATCGTCGTCCGATGCCCCGACTCATCAAGAACCAGGCACCGAAAACTCCTCCCATGTTGATTCCATACTGTCCGAGGGCAAAGTCATAGGATTTGCTCGTGGCCAGACCCGCTTGTTCAAGGAAATATGTCGAGTATCCAGAGAAAGAATTGCCGGACAGGTTCTGGATCGCCCAGACCATGCACACGATTTCGGTCCGTCGCAAGTCTGTGCCTTTGAAGCAATCCCAGTACGTGGCACCCGCCGTGATCTTTTCTTCCAGAGCGGTTGTATGGACCATCATCGCAATGGTTTCATCGGCATCGAAATCGGTTTCGCGGTTGAGTGAAGTCAATCGAAGGAGTGCTCTTTTGGCGTCGTCGAGTCGCCCCTTGCGCACAAGCCACCATGGCGATTCTGGTGCGAGGAAGATTCCAATTATCAGTGGTGCCGGCCACACCCACTGGATTGCATAAGGTATGCGGTATGACCATTGATCGTCTCGAGGGAGCATCGACTTAATGACCCCAATCCCAATCACCTGTCCCAGTCCCCAGCAGAAGTTTACATAGGTCGTAAGATACCCTCGGAGCGCCACTGGACACACCTCGGATGCATAGGTGATGGCTAGGCACGTACAGAGTTAATAGGTGTGTTTTCGAAACATAGGAGGTTCGATACGTAGTGGTGTGGATATTGGGGGCTCAATGAGTTCCCAACAACACCTCATACGTTGCGGCCGGAAAAACTTACTTGCGACTTGGAACATGCCCCAAGGTATTCCACAGAGGATCTCTGCGACCTGGAGAGCGACCACAGTCTGTGCTGTGAAGAAGACCGCCGTGTAAATGGCAACGAGGGCCAGGCAAGCGATGAGGGTGTATCGGTAGCCAAAACGCTCGCAAACCAAGCCGTTGATCATAAGGCCAATTATTTCGCCGACATTGGCACCGTTGCTAAGACCTGCCTGCCACGGAGCCGGGATTTGATAACTTCCGTCGGGCAGTTGTTCGCCGTACTTCTTCTGGAACTGAGGGAACGCGTCTGTCAAGACAGCGGTCAGAAAGCAAAACATTTGAAAAGGAAAGTCGGGAATCTTAGGTTCCCAGGCACCAGATCACTCACAGAAATTACTCAACAGACACACATCGTATCCCTCCATGGCAATGCAGGTCGAGATCAAGATGCTCCACCCAACGGCTTTTGGGTAGAGCTTGATGCCTTGCCACAAGGTCATCTTGTGCTCCTTTTCGGTCGCTCTCTGAGCATTGTGGATGACATCGTCAAAGGTTTTCTGGTGCTCTATGTCATCCCCTCGAACCTGTTCCGGGGCGCCATGGGAAGGTTGAGAGGAGATGACATTCTCCTCGACCGCCTTTTCCGACATGATTGAAAACGCGTCTCAGCGTGTATTTTACCTTGCGCTGTGATCGCGTCAATCGAACAAAGTTAAAGAGGTTGTGGAGTTGAGTGTGGTTAGAGATGGAGGTGAATGGACAGTGACTGGCTGGCAGCTCCGCTCATAAAGTCCCAGACAATCCTGCTGACCAGATATGGTGAACAAGGACAGAGTAAAAGGCCAACAATAAGCAGGTGAAAAAAAAATTATGAGTTGACCCAGTATAACTAGGACAACTCTCCCAACCTCCCCACTGATCAGCCGACCAGCTTCTCCTTATATCCCCTGGTCCAGGTCTTCTGCGGGGGGAATGGTGTGTTAACGAAGATCCCACGTTACACTGCTTTCTGGGGTAAAGAAAAAAGGGCGATTTCTCTGGTCTGGGGGAATCTTGCGGCACGCGCGCATCGACGAAGGATCAGGTTTTCTGTTCGCCCTTGCCAGATTCGTGAGGAGGTAGAAGCAAGTGGGAATTTTTGCTGATCTGGACATTGGCGTGAGAAAACCTGGTCAGAGGACCAGTCACGCGGGTCCCTGAGGATCCCCCTGGGAAATCCTGGGATGATGAGTTCTGAGTCCCTGGGGAACTCCCGAGATGCATATCCACCGTACCGCACCGCAATCAGATCAGGTATTGTCCTTTCCTCTCTCTTGCTGGTCACTGGTTGGCCTGGTCATTGTCACGACAAATGGGTTCGCCATCCGCCGCCTGTGGTTCCACTGAGCTCGAAAGCTGTCTTCCATCCTTCTCCATCTACCTGGCCGTGTGCCTCGATGTGCTGAGGGCGATGAGGGGCGACCGTTTTGCCTCTTTGATTTTTGCTCCACCCCGATTTTCGCAAGGTAGTATCGCACAACATGAAAATCCGGGATCTAAGACGAACTAGGGACAGTTCAGAGGATGCAGGTGAGCAGAGGGTGCACGACCGAAGATCCCCAGATGTCACCGATCAATTGCCGGATTTTTGGATGGTGTTGCTTGTTCGCCAATCAGGCTCATTATTGTTTGTGTTCCTTATGGTCTGTTCAACGTAGGTCGAAAACACAAGCGTTCGGACGGACATGCACCGAGAGCGATGGGACACCAAGGCTTGAACCAAGGCTTGAACCAAGACTCGACAAGACTTCAAGACCAAGAAAAAACCAAGAGGGCGGGCAAAGCGGGCAAATGCGCATCTTTGCACATTCTCATTGTAACCCACGGTCAATTGCCGACGACAAAATGCACCGCATCACAAGG